CCCCGAAAGAAGCAGGAGGAGGAGGTAAAAAATGAGAATATCCGGTCTAAACAGAGGCATGCTATGCTGAAGAGGTTAGATCTCTGACCTGCCTCTAAGTCCCTTTGCTGGCATGCTGCTAGGGATGATGTCTGCAGCCAGAGTGACCTACTTCAGGCAGAGTGACCCACGTTAGCTTAACCTGGTTGGGGAGTTGCCCTGCTAACCTCGCTCGCTTACAGCCACAGTGGGGTGGCAGGTTTGAGGGGGCAGTAATCTCCAGCAGTGAGCAGGCAGTGATACATTTCTTTGGTACAGCTGGATCAGGAAGAGCGAGCGCGCTCCCAGCCTGAGAAATGGAACAGGCTTGCTAATGATAAATCTGTGTGCGGTGATTCAGCTTTGGCAGAAGTGAGTCTGACCCAACTGTAGAGAATACGTACACACAAAAGTGTCTGGTCATCTTGCAGTGTGCTTGTTGAAAACTTGAAGTCTTGCTTTAATAGCAGACTCCACTACATAAATTGTTGTTCGCTCCCACGAGGGTTTATATAAGGTTCTATGTAAGTATCCTCTGCACCCTTACAAGACATTCCTTGGGTGATGCATGTTGCTTTCAAAAGCCCTGTGTGGCCACTTGATAGCATTTAAAGGTCTGATCCCAGATGAGGGGAGTGTAGGAAAAGGTTGCATTGTTTTGCATCAAAGAAATATGAAGGTAATAGTTTCAGCAATTTAAAGTGGAAGTTACCTATGCAAAATGCTGAGTTTACTAATAAAAGATTTGTGTTCTGACTCTCCTAGGCTTTTGGGCAGGCCCATACCAACCACAAGAAGGTAGCAGCAGATGGAGAGAGCAGAGAGGAGACCTTGATTCAGGAATCGGCTACCAAGGAAGAGTACTACATGAAGAAGGTTATGGAGTTGCAGACAGAACTGAAGCAGCTCCGAAATGTCCTTACCAACACCCAGTCTGAAAATGAACGCCTTAATTCTGTTGCACAGGAACTGAAAGAGGTAAGCGAAGGTGCACAGTGCACACCACAGCTTGTATTGTGGCTATGTTGTCTTGTGCTGCGTAATCAAAATAAGAAAGGTTCTTCAGCAGGTTGCCGTCTGCTTAATAGTGGCACCTGCTAAGATGGGTTGTCCCTCCGAGACTTCAGCAAGGTGTTACATCTGTGATTCAACAGTACGGTAAATCCAGCTTTGTGGTTCCATCCATTGACCTAGCCTGTTGTGGCCACAGTGGTTCTGCCGTGGTACAAATTCGCTCTGCCTTGTTGAAATACCTACTAGTTCTGCAGTAACCACTGTCTTGTGTCCCAGCTCCTTGGACAGATGCACAACTGCGTGTCTGAGCCATGCGGGTGCTGTGGGTACTGCACATCAGTACTCTCAGTCCGAGAACCGCTGCCTTAAAAGCAGAGGAAGCTCTTTAGTCCAAGCACAGAGGTGTTAGGGATGTACTTTTTCTGCCTTGCTGCCAGTACAGATTTTCTTGCTGCAAATTATTTGGGACATAATTTCACCTTTTACCACTTTTTCCACCCTTCACTTCTAAGGATGTGAGAGCATAACAAAACACTGAATTGCACAAGAGGAGGAGTAGTGAAGTTTATAACCTTGTGTTTTCTCTCATGAAAGTGATGGCTTTTAATTTTTCATAGGTTGCTTAACTTACTACGTCGAAGTACCTTTCACCTTTTATTGTTTTAGTATTAAAACTGCCTATTTCTGAGGGGAAATGATTGCTGAGAAATTGACTGAAAAAGCTTAATTACTTAAGAAATCTGTAGCTCAGCATGAATCTCTGTGTCCCTGATAAGGAAAAGATTGTCTTGAGAGTTCAAACCATTGCTTAAATTTAGACTGGGTAAAAGTTAGAGACTGTAAACCACAGATGGATGTGGTACGTAACCAGCAATTATTACTCATGAGCTTTCATGCACCTTCCTTTGAAGCGCTGGGTACTAGTCTCATCTAGCCCTGACATAATCACTGGCCACCCCTGCCAGGATGGGAGGCTAGCTAAGATACCATGTCTTGGTCTTGATGTACTCTGCATGACCACAGCTGAAAATCAGAAGTGTCTCGTTTAATTTCTTTAGGAAATAGTAACAGGTACAGGGATAATATTTGGTGGCAAAATTCATGAGGAAGTGTGAGTGGAGATATGGGGATTCAACAGTACCTCTCCTTGGGGTAGGACAGAGGAGATTCATCGGGCAAACTGTCCTAGATGATTGAACAGGCCAGTCAAGCTCTCCTTTAATTTCATGGGTCCTGACTGTGGGATAGCAGGGCTGGAATCTGTCCATGTGCTCTGCTTAGGCAAGGAATCAGTCCCTGCAAGCACACACACAACTCTTATTTCCTAACCTTTAAGAACAGCTTAAAAGCAAAAGCTCCCTGCCCCAGAGGCAGTGTCATGTCTGTAACGGATTCCAAACACTGCTTAAAAGCATGCTGGTCGGCAGATTTCCATCCAGCTCCCTGCGTCAGTGCAGCTGAAGGGGATTTTTTCCATCTAGGTACTGCCATGTTTTCAGTCACCTTTACTTGGAGCTGTGTTTTGCTTTATGCAGCCCTGGGATGAGCTGTCGGTTTGCCAGGTTGTAGGGTGGGTTTTTTTTTTCTTGTGCTTTGTCCTTCCACCTTGCCCAGATAAAGTGGGCGATGTTGGGTTCCTTGTGAAGATTTTAATTTTTTCAAAGTTTTTTGTTTTTTGTTTTTTTTAATTTTGCACTGTCTTCTGCTGAATGGGGGAAGATGCATTTAGTTACTTGACTAAAGGCTGATGATAATTAACTGGATGTGACTGATTTTGAACTTTGAATGGAAACAGAACTCAGTTAAAAAAAAAAATAATCTAAACCTAATGTGATAAATAACTGGAACCTTGCAGTTAAGGGGTTCTCTGCCTGTCACTTTGTGTCATCTCAGTGTGTGCATTCTTCTTTCCTTCCCTTTTATTTTTTTCAGCCTAGCTGGTTCTTCTGCTGCTGGTATAATGTGATGGGGTGAAGAGGTGAGGAGGAGAAAAAGAAATGGCATGAAAGCTTTCATGTTAAAATGAAAACATCTGGGGCAATTTACCATGTGTGGTTTGGGATTCTTTTCCTCTGAAGATGCCTATTTGTTTATTGCATTTTGGTTTGAATTGCCTTATAATTACTGGTAGGGAATGGTGAGGCAGGGTGTGTGAACAGGGATACTGGCCTTGTCCTGGCCCACAAAAACAAGTCAACATGACTATCTTGAGGGACTTGTCTTTTCTCTTGTACAATGCATCAGAAAGTGGCCCAAGTTCAAATAGTTGCTGTTTCACCATTGTTGTCCAGGTAAGGAGGATTTGCATAGGCCTCCTGTGATGGTTTGTAGCTCTAATACCAAATTAAAGTTGGAAGCGTTGTGTGAGAGAAATCAAGAAGATGCTGTCGCCCGTGTAAGCTAGTGAGCAAGATGAGCAGCGTGTTTTTCCCCACTCCCTGTTGCCGTGCTTAGTCTTAGCCTGTCTCATGGTAAAAGTTTTTATGTTGATAATAGGCGAAGGAGACTCTGTGCTGTGAAGAATGCTGCTGTAGGCTGCAAGTGTAGGGGATGAAGGTGGAATATGTTTTAGACTGCAGAGATGGAGTGGAAATCCTTCCTTTTTTCTGAGTGCTGGTGAAAGAAAAACTGCTGTGGCTCTTCTCCATCTTGTTGTAGAGAATGTTTGTAGGCAGATTTAGTCTTTATAGTGTGTATTTTGGAAGCCCTGTATTATTGCTTATCATGAGAACTGACTTGCAAGATGTCTGGGGGAACAGGAAACTTTGTTTCCATTGCAACCGTTCTGGATTTGATACTGTTAAGAGGAAGGATGTGGAAAATGCTTGATTGTGCGTCCTCTGGCCAGGCAGAGGCTGCCTCCTGTCAAAACTAAAAGGAAGTTTAAAAGCAAAAAGGAAAGAAAAAGGTTGGAAAAATCGACAGGCTGAATCTCTGCTTTATTTTTAAGGGAGATTTGCTTGTCAGGGCTGGCTGCAAAAGTTTCTATCTGCTGTTTTGTACCTATCTGATAGGATACAGAGTTTTACTGGGGCTTTTTTTTCAAATATCAGTTCAGTCCTTAATAGTGGCAAGTGGCACAAGGAAGATGGTCGAGTGTATCTGGCAGCAGCTCCTCTTGAGATGCTGCTAGTAGTAGTGGTGGTGGTGTTGGGTTGAGGCCAGATGTTGACCCACATCAGTTGGAAGTGCATTCAAGACTGCGCGTTTTATGATGCTGTCATTCCTTTCGCGTCTTCTCAGGACACTTGCAGAGAAGTGATGAGTTGTTTTTGGAAGGAGAAGAGTTTGGTACACCTGGGGTTGCTGTAGCAGACAGAAGTGGTTTTGATGCTTTCTGTTGAATTATCTAACTTTGGCCTGTTGAGACAGGCTGACAGGGTGGTTACAGATTATGAATTTTACTGCTGTCATTAGCTAGCTCAGCAGCTCCTCTGTCCTGGAAGAGTCACTGGAAGGAGTAATTGCTCCGGAGTAATTGTTAATTGCCATTCTTTTTTAATCTTCTTTCATCTCTCCTGTGTTTTAGTAGGACGAAAACAGATTTCATCGGGTGATTTGGCTGTGAAGTCATGAGGCGGCCATGCCCAGTATGGAGCAGCTGAACAATAAACGAGTGATTTTTTCGCAGGAAAGTAAAAGGCATTTTGGTTATGTAACCTCAAGAAGGAAATATATTTTAATGTGTGCTCTTTTATACATTAGTTAAGAAAAATAGCTGACCTGACATGGTGTAATATAATATGTACTAAATAACTTGTGGGTTTTATAAAGCATGCTGTCTGCAACGTGTGAGTAATTTCATTCCTCCAAGGCGTTTTCCGTGGAAGCTGTTTTTCTGAGGTTTGTTCTGAAGAAACTTTCTTGTTCTGCATTATTGACTGACAGGCTTTACCAAGAAAGCATGTGTCAATCTGAAGGATAATGAACACCGTGCAGTTACCCGGCCCTGCTGTGTGCAGGGGACTCTTTGTTTCTCTTTATAGTGCTAGGTTTTTCAGGTCTGTGTCAAACACAGACACACAATTGTTTATCCTGGTTTTTTTTGTTGTTTATTTTTTACCTTACAGAAAAGGAATACCCAGCACATAGACCTCTAGAAAGATCTGTCAGTTTTATCCCTCCATGTCAGTTTTATCCCTCCATTCTATTCCCTTGACTTGCATCAGAGGAATGGCCACCAGTTTGTGTTTCTAGAGTCTCAAGTTACTCTAACAACCCTCATGCTCTAGTCTAATCGTGTAGATAATTTCCTTAACTAAGTGTACAGCTTATAAAGCTCACCCATACTCTCAGAGTAAGCCTAAAAAAATAACCAGCCAGCCCTGCCCTCTTCTTCAGTGAAGACCTAGACTTTGGTCTCTGGTTGTGGGTAGCCAAATGCTTCACTGAAGGACACGCAGAAATTGCCTGCACTCTGATGAGAACAGCTTCAAGTGGAAGCTGATCTTCTGTCACTGGAAACGTAAGATGCACTGCATTAGGTCAGGCCACTTCAACCACGACTGCCTTACACGTGCTGTAATGTAGTTGCTCACAGTCATCTCTCCATATCCTTGGATGTAGCAATATTACAGCTGCTCATATCAGCTTTCTGGGCCCTGCAGTTAAAAATATGTGAACTGAGGTGGAAGAGACATTGCTGGGAAGCCCAGGACACAGGCTGTTCGCAATATTTGACTGTTTAAATTGCTAGCAATTTCAGAGCCAGTGTTTTCACCATGGTAGGCCATTAAGTTGTTTGTCAGACATGACTCTATCTGCTCTGAGTGATGAGGGCTGATTCTTCTATAAACACACAGTAATCTGATTGCTGAAGTTCTCCAGGTTTCCTTAACATCATCAGTGAAGGAAGAGTGTTCCTAAAGTTAGGATTATGCTTCTCTTTCCCACTAGGATTTATAGCTAAGCTGCTGAATAGTCCTTTGTGTTGCTTTCTGTTTCTCCCTCTTGAATGCACTCGT